ATTCTTTTCTCTTAGAAACTCCACTTAGAAAGGCCGGGGCCAAAAAAGAAATGGACTCGCGGGGAATCGAACCCCGGACCACTCCCAGGCGTCGTCTTGCGCTTTTGAAGGCGGAAGAACTAATGCTAAGGGAGTATTATACCACTAAACCACAAGCCCGATCTGTTGCTTTCTGTTGAAGCCGACTTGATTTGTTCATATATATCTAACTAGTTTTTTTTTACTTTTTTTCTGTTTCTTTGATGAACGACGTGGAAAGAGAATGTCAATACAACCGTAACCTTCCGATTACTTTCGCTATTATCATATTAGATCAATATCAGAAAATAGAAAGGCTTTTCGTAGATAGGACTGGGTTGGGAATTCTTGCCAAACTAATCATCACTTTACAAGGAGTAGTCTAATGAGATATCATCATCGTTTTCGTTTTAAGAAAAAAAAACTCATCTCCACCCGTCATCAAGGTTCTATCCATCCCCTTCGCTGCCATCCTCGCTGTCTTGTTCATTTTCAGCATGGTCTTCTTCGAGGGTGTCTTCACAATCTCAAAATCTCTAGGCAAACGATTACAATTGTGGCAAATTTGTCAATAGGTAGTTGAAGTAGTATTGATTTCCTCTCGTTAACAATAACATGTGCGATAGGGGAGAATTTAGATACTGTCCTTGCGTGAATACTAGAAAGATCAGGAGTCCGCGGGTCATAAGGGTGACCGAAAAGAGCGAGTTTGATAACTATATATAGATGAAGGAAACTAGATACATAAAATCGAGTGGCCAAATGAATGTATGCCGTCTTCTGTTCCAAATGTCCAGTCCCTGCCTGTATCTTCTGTGACGAAGTGACAGGCCCATCGACCAAAACATCCATCCTGGTTTATACCGACAACATAGACTTAGTCTACCTAAGCAAGACCGGCAGCCTGAATAGCGAAAGTGGCTGCAGCCTCAGCACTGCTACCGTAGCTAATGTGGCTACCGGTGGCACCACCATCTCCACCACCGCCGCAGATCTGATCAGCAGTGCCACAGAACTGCTTAACCTTATCTGTGGGAAGTTTGCCAACTGCTGTGCGCTTCAGTGGGTCTCCGAACAGAACCGCGCCACTAACATCCTCGGCTGAAAGGCCCTTATTGAACGCATTGTGAACTACCATAGCACCCTGTGAGTAGCCAGAGACAATGACCTTGGTGTTGGGGCACAGAGACTTGGCCTGCTTGACCAGCGCTGCCATCTTCTCACCACCATCGCCACCAAGGTTGACATTACCAGCGGCAGATGCGGGATAGTCGACACCCTGGACAGTAACGCGGTCGTCACCGAGCTTGCTACGGATAGCCTTGAACATGGGTGGCCCAGAGACAGTGCCTACGTTGCCCATCTCGCCCGTTCCGCGAGCAAAGACGATTGTCATGTCTGTGCAACAGTTCTTGTCCACGACGCCGTTTTCGGACCCTCCGAGAAGGCCGGAAGAAGCCTGTTGCGGTTTGCAGTTTCCTCCAGAGCCACCAGAGCCACCAGTACTGTTTCCTCCAGGTATGGCTGGAGTCGCTGGTGTTGCTGGCGTTGATGGTGTCTCGGTATCGGGAGAAGCAGGTGGTGCAACTTCGTCGCTGCCAGCACTAGAGCCTCCACCAAGGCCTCCGGTCAATCCGCTGAGCCAGTTCATCCACGAGGAACCGCCAGTGCCAATGCTAGTGTCGCTACCAGCAGCTTTGCGTGAGGATCCGATCCCTCCAAGACCTGGCAGACTTGAACCTCCGCTAAGGCCAGGGAAGCTTGAACCTCCACCTAGACTGGGCAAGCTAGTAGGTAGAGTGAGGCCTCCTCCAAGGCCAGAACCTCCTCCTAGACTAGGGAAGCCAGTAGGTCGAGCAAAACCTCCTCCGAGACCTCCTCCAAGACCAGGAAAGCCAGAACCCCCTCCAAGGCTTGGGAGTTTGGTAGGAAGGGTCAAACCACCACCCCCAAGACCAGGTAGACCAGAGCCTCCTCCAAGGCCAGGGAGACCAGAACCCCCACCAAGGCTAGGCAGGCTTGATCCTCCGCCTAGGCCTGGAAAGAGACCACCAAGTCCAGAGCCTGCGCCGGGCTCCGTGGTAGAAGGCAACTCCTGAGGATACGGATACGCAGCCGCAACACTCGCAAGCGCCAAAATGTGACCAGCGTGATACTTCATATTGAATCGAGTTTACACCAAAGACGATCTGAAATCTCGATATGGTCAAAAAAAGAATTCTCTGTTTGTTAAGAGAGAAAAAATGGATGCGCTATATCCCGATGAACGAACGGCAGGAAAGGCTTGAAGATAAAGCAAAAAAGATGGGTACGAGGTGTGCACTGCACGAGAGAAACAAGGCGGAGAAGTGAATGTAGGATCGAAAGTCGATGCCTTCTCTAGCACTGGGGGGCTACACCACTACCCTTCTTATACCCACGACGTGGCGAGAGATACAGTATGTACATATACATATGTGCCGAGGACCAACTGTCCCAGTGACTGATCATCTGCTGGTACGATTTTTTTGAAACATTCGTTTTCTTTGCGGACAAAAGAAAAAGGTGATGAAAGGGAGGTGCGGAGTACTACGCACCACGCCAACATTTGCTGCAGGGCTTTACTACCTGATGTTTAGCGTGGGACGTGGTAGTTGTTGTCCCCGCGGATCGACACATCTTTGCTAGGCTTTGTGTATACGACCAGGTTTGCCGTTGATCTTCATGTTTCACATATCATGGCATGGGGCTTGATAGGCACACTGAAAGGCATTGGGCCTGTCGACTAGTGTTGCCGTTACGTTAGCGGCGGGCGCATCATCAATCATTATGGGATAGTTTGTTTCGCGGGCCGCGGGCTAGCGACTATCATCTCACCATGGACATTGCGAGGTCTGCTTTGTCGTCCGAGGAAATGTGATTTATTACTTGCAGTATGCATACAATAGAGGGTCTTGTCGGAGAATTGAATCATCGTAATACACCTTCAAACTTCGCTACAAAAAGGAAATATCGTCCATTTAAGGCACGACCAGATGTTGTGCGCTGTGTAAAAACCTAAGATTCGTCGGTTCCTCGATCCACAGCGGCAAACCTGTTTTCCTCTTTCATATTCGCTTTCTGAAGAATCCTGTTTGAGAAAGTACATGGGAAGCATGAAACGGCATAATGCACCAAGCAATTAAATACCTGATATGACCACTGTGCAAATTAGCTAGGGTTCTGGAGACCCTGTGGCGTAGGGCTACTAGTGCTTCCCATGTCGGCCATGCGACATGCCTCGGCATTCCTCATGTACATCGTTTCATGATGCTCCTAGTGCAACATCATCTCTCAACCATTCAGTGCTGGTAGCCTTCTCTCAATGGAAATAACACGCCGCGATACCTGTACACCGGACGATGAGGTCAGAGTTCATGTCGTCCTTGCACCACTTCGAACAAAACGTACCATCACGACGTTCGAGCTCGCATTGCCGCCGCAACTTCTTTGGTCGCGTTGTAACCGTACAGCCAAGGTTGCACCTCGGGGCATGTCCAGCGACTCGGGAATGCGCCTTCTGGACCTTTGCCTAGTTGCCTAAGCATTGTGGCGTCACGAATTGCTTGTTCTGGTCCATCACGTAGATGAAAGTCTTTTCGCTGCTTGAATGTTTCCCGCGCAATACTCTCACTCCTTGCTTTTCGCAATTGCTGGAAGAGCTGTAAACTCTCCGGTAGTTGTGATTTTGATTTGTAGTGTTCTGGGGCGAGAAGCAAGCCCAAGACTGCACCGTCTTCGATGGACGAGTTGGCACCCTGGGCAAGATACGGGAGCATCGGGTGACATGAGTCGCCAATTAGTACGAGGTTATTTTGTGGGTTGACCCACGAGTCCATCTCGGCACGGTGCATCAGTTTCCACTTGTCCACTTTGTCGACACATTCAAGCAGCTGAGTTAACCTAAAACGTACGTGTCAGTGGCTTATGCAATGGATGAGGCAAGTGGGGTAGCCTACACGGGATCCCATCCCTCAAACAGCCTCCTCATTTCATCCAAATTGCCCTGCGTCCTCGCCACCCCTTCGTCCAGGTCGTCGGGGACGAGCAGAACGACGTTGTACATGTTCCCTCCGCGGATGCTGTAGGCTACTGCGTGCGCATCAGGTCCCGCCCAAAATCGGCATGCGGGTGTCTGCACCATCTCCTTCAATTTAGGGTCGCCAATTTGATCAACGCTGAGCACTATACGGAACGCAAGATCTCCAGTTGGCAGGGGAGGGTCATTGCGTCCGAGCATGGTAGACCGACAAGAGGACCAGAGCCCATCAGCTCCGACAATGAGATCGGCTTCATAAATTTGACCTTGGTATGATTTTACACGTGCTCTGTCGCCAGGAGCGCTGCCAAAGTCCATGCCATTCACCTTTGCATCCAAAACAACGTGCACACCTAGCTCTTTTACTCTTCTTACCAGAGCTTGCTGTAAATCCACACGGTGACAGTCCGAGAACGGTGCACCATATTTCCGACGAATGTTTGTGCCGAAATTATCTTCGTGTGCAAGAGTCTCGCCTCGATAGTTGTACACTGTAAGCGTAGTGGGCTCAGACACTTGATCCCTAATGGTGTCATATACGGACCATTGCTGAAGCAGACGTGTCGCGTTTGGTGTCAACTGGAGACCGGCGCCGACCTAACAAGATGTTCAGTCACCCTATTTGGTGCTCGAGGATGTTGCGCCCACCTCAGCAAGCTCCTTCGCGGCCTCTAAAACTATGACAGAATGACCTGAAAGTGCGCATTGTATCGCCGCTGCGAGACCCGACAGCCCTGCACCCACGATGATTATGTCTAATCGGACCGACATTTTCGATAGAGCAAAGACACGAAAGCTTGCAATCATCTTTGGAAAGGAAGCAGGAGGGGGAAGACTTGGCAGAGCCTGTCACTGGTCCGTCCCCGCCACTCGCATGTCCCTTGCGTTCCCACTCAGCCACAGTAGTTGATTGGACCAATCCTTTCTAGAAGCAATTCCAGCCTGTGCAGCGATGACGGCCTTTGTGCCTCTTGAAGTAATTGACACAAGTAACGTCCTTACACTGGGGCCTGACATGGCTTGCTTGTGGGTGCGGGTAAGTTTGCGTATCCATGGTGTGCAGCCAACAGTGGGTGGGAACGATCTTGACAGTAGGATCTGCCAGGTCCCTCGCCTTGCAGATTACGATATCTCTCTCGTAACGAAGTACAATACAGTACGAGGAGATGGAAGCAGCACCAGTACTTTTCAAGGAATGTAGTTTCATGGTTAGCTTCTTTCCATGACCACCGTCTATAGAAGAAACATGTGGCTGTAATCCCATATCTGTGTGAATCGATGGGATCAAGGTTGGAAGAGGTCTTGTTTGATCATTTTCTCCAGTCTGGTAGTGAACAAATTGCCGAAGATGGGAAAGTGGACCGAAAAATGCCATTTCAGGCGGATCGCCAAAACGGGACAAAGGGTACAAAGCGTTGGCAGGGCCTAAACCTCGAAGCCTATGGAATAACAACCTCAGCTCTGGTGCAGGTATTCGGCCATTGGCGGTGAGGGCCATTGTATCGATACGGCTATGAGGTGTCCATTCTAGATTGAGGACCACAGTGTCTGGGTTGGCGTTGTCAATATACGTGGTGCTGAGACGGGCCCGAGGCCAGGTTGGTGGCTCTGAGGCTGTACAGCGTATGTCATGGTTGGCATCGTGACACTCGATGCTGAAGCTATCAAGACAGGCTTGCCAGTCTCCTCCTCGATAGTGCTGCTGCCGCCGCCAGTCATCAATATGGGCCTTGATAGCGGCCCAAGTGATTTGAATATGGTTGCACAACTCAACCGATCCCTGTTGTCCTAGACATCGTCGTTTTCGCCAATAGCCTGAATATTGCCTGTTTTCGAAGGAAAATTCCCAAGCGGAGTGAAGACTGTCGCAGGCATAGCAGTGGAGCTTGCGACAAAGCCGGATATACTCTGCAAAATCTTCGAAACAGGCACTGCTCGGCCAGAATTTGCAGCAATCAGAGTATCGAGGGTCACAGGTTTCATTCCATTGCCTGCAGTCATTGCACCGGCCATCCCTCTGTATTAGCCGCCGAAACTGGCCCTTTGGAACCTCCGAGAGCAGGCTAGGATGATACAGACCGAAAAATGGGTCTTGCCGCAGCAGTTGATTGCCAATGATGTAAAGAAATTTTCTTGAAGCTATCCGGAGACAAGACAACGTAACGACATCGTCGTGTAAAAAGTCGAGAATACAGAGGAGGAGTTCATCTGGAAACCGGCTAGTAAGGGGACAGAAACGACTGTTGTACACCTGAGCGGCTATAAGCGGGTCCATGTTACATTGTGACTTGTGTAAGGCGGCGAGGAGTGCTTGCACTTGTTCATTGTTCTGTTTCTCCACGTTCTCGATGAACTCACGTTCTTCGTGGTGCAGGGCGGCAATGGACGCTTTGACCTTTTGATCATCCTGTTTCGCTGGGTTCTTGATGAGATTGCGTTCCTCGCGCCACCTTTTCATCGTTTGTAGAAAAGAACGCATTTTGAATTCTTACTTGTGTTGCGCTTGGACGGATATTCGGAGGGGTGCGAGGCTAGCGAGTGAAGAGCAAGCGGGTGTAGAGCAAGCGGGTGTAGAGCAAGCGGGTGTAGAGCAAGCGGGTGTAGAGCAAGCGGGTGTAGAGCAAGCGGGCATGGAGTCAGCGGGCAAGTCCCTTTATCTGAGCTTTATCTTTGAAACTGATGAAACCTTTCTCTGCAGAAGTTACGCGAAAGCTCGACGCAAAATATACAAGTCCCAACGTAGCTCGGACTGAGACACTCCACCGGTTCCAATCGGATTTAGGGGCGGCCAATCAAAGAACAATGAGGTGTACGGGAAGTATAAGTTAAAGTGTTGCTTGTTTGGTTGTTTCTGAGTCTGCACCAACGTTTTCGTGGACTTAGCGATATCTCTTGGTCCAGGTTGTATGGGGACTATCGACCACGGTTGTATGGGGACTATCGACCATGGTTGCTGACGGTCTGCCGGTATGTTGGTCGACTAGTTTCATACGAAGCATCCGCACTTGTAGGTAGACTGGTTCTAGATTGAAAATCCAAGCGATTTGTTCGATTACTTGGAGATAATCCAGATTGACGCCGTCTTGACTGTGCGGGTTGATATAAAGCTGCCCCACATCTGAAGAAAGATCTGGTTCCAGTTCGGAGAACGAAGCGATTTTCAAGATAGGAAGGTGATCTGGCTACCACTTCTTGATTGTCTTGATGGATGTGAAGCTATCGCGCCTTCGGAGATGGATTGATTCAGCTGAAAAGCTGAGCGATGACTTAACGATATGACTAGCGCCGTGTCGAGTGTTCTCGTATTTGGAAAAGATTCCAGTCTAGTAGTATAACTGCCTCCTGACATCGGATTTACACTGGCTTCCTTTGGCAAGGGAAGAACCAAGTGAAGGTCTGATCTTTGCTATCCGCTTGATGATGTTGTAGCGGACCCACCAGTTAATGTACAAATGTGCAATCCAGGGTACGCCCATTAGTTGGAGCGTCTGACCCGTCAGACCGATGCCCGGCCCAGCCAAGGTTTTACCCTCGACCAGGTGTTGATGTCAGGATTAATGGCGAAATGGTTGTTCCTTACGTTTTCCTTCATGAGGTTTATTGTACGTAGCTTTGCCTTCACTCGACGGGTTTTAACGCGTTGTTCCTTCGTGGCTTTACGCTTGCGTTTCCTCTTCCAGGCCGTGCCTGAGCTCGGCAATCATCCGGGCGCTCTCACCCGCGGTGCGCTTGCACTCGGCAGCGGTCCTCCAGGCGTCAGCCATCATCCGCTCGAGGGCGGTCATCCTGTCCTTGGCAGCAGCGAGCTGCTCGCGGGGCCTCTCAGCGGTGTCCTCGGCGGCGGCGGCATCGGCTTTGGCGGCGGAGAGGGCCTCATCCTCCTTCTTGAGCTGCCGAAGCAGGTTCTGGTCCACCAACAGAACTGCTCTCAAAAACCCTCCCTGCCGATCAGGATCGGTCAGGGCGTCACGAATTGTCTTGTCCCAAAAGACAACAAAGCGAGCGGACAGCCGCATCCAGAATGGACCCACAAGGGCCATAGGAGCAAGGTGGCCAGTACCCAGGTCTGGCGAGCCAGTCGGGTGTTGGATTCGATCTTGCTCATCACATTGTTGCTGTGTTATGGGTGCTTTCCTCACTGATCTGTCTGTTGTGGAAGGAACTCTCTTCACGGATTACGAATACCCCAAGCTCACTGAACACTGAACAGCAACGTTAGCATTGGCAGCGAGACGACGACTAACGGGATTGAAAAGGTATACGTACAGGATTTTATTTGCTGATGTGTGTAGTAGATACAGTCATCTTGTGCAAATGCAAAGGCAATCAAGGTATATGTTGAAGTGGTGATTGATTGATTGATTAGCCAGATAATGCAGCATGAAACCGCAGTCTTCAAATGCCATGTTTGCTATGTGCGCTCAAAGATGCAATTCAATGTGTCGCTATATTCATACACTTCCCCTCCATACTGGCTGCTATCCTTTTTGCTTCGTCCTCTTACTACATCAAAACTACTTTCTAGTACTGACTAGCCGCCGCCTGGCATGCCTTGAGTTGGTCAAGGTACCATCCACAGATAGTCAAGCTGCCCTGGTTCTCGTCCATGCACTTGCGGAAGCTCTGGACGTCGTTTGCGCAGGGACCCGACTGTGCCATTTGAGCGGATGCCTGGTGCTGTGCGGCGAAGTCGGTGTTTTGGGGCGCGGCGTCGGCAGGGGCGGAAGAACCACCGCTGAAGAGACCGCCAATTGCGTGGCCGATTGAAGATCCTACTGCGACACCGCTGCAAGCATGTCAGTTCAGTGTTCAAATTACAAAGTGGGGTGCCTGGCATTCGTGGCGCAAATCGATCCAGGTTAAATATGGTTGCCTGGGACTACTTACGCAGCAGTGCTAGCCATCTGTCCAAACAGACCAGGTCCCTGAGGTGTAGGAGCCTGCGCCTGCTGAACGGGCGCATGAGTGGGAGCATGCTGGGCGGGAGCCGCAGCAGTCGAGTGAGGGCGCGATGACGCAGGCGCAGGCGCAGTGGTAGCCTGCCTGGCTGCTGGGACTTGAGGGCGGCGGGGAGGAGCGGTTCCGGAACGTTGGCGAGGCATTTTGTTGTTCTTGTGATGTGGTTGTTATGCGTTCGGGTGTTGTGTTTGCGATACGTGGTAGAATTGATGTTGCGATGGCAAATTGGAGATGTCAACCACCGAGGTTCGAGAAACATCGTCGGTGTTAGCGCATTTTAGACAGCTTGGCATGCATGTTTGTCATGGACATGTTGATTGGCTCCTAGTCTTCATGCCCCTGTAATTACGCCATTCACGTGGCTGCTATGTTTTACTTCACCTATAGTGCTCGGGCTAAGTATTAGAGTAGTCTAGTCTAGTCTCACGGCCGAATGCCGGTGCTCATGCATTGCATTCGATAGTATGAATATTGGAGCTTGTTACCAGAACCGATAGCTGGATTGCAGATACTGCTCTATGTCCGGGCCAAGTTCACGTTTAGCACACGTCCTCAATCTCGACGTCGCCCCCAGACCTCGGTCCCAGATCAGAGCGTAATGTGCGATTAAATAGCTCTTTGAGCATCTCAAAGCAAATCCCCGACAATGCAGCATCGTATCGCCCCTTGCTAAGCTCATCTCTGATGAAAGCATCTGTCGAACGGGTTAGTACGCCCGGAAAACTTCTAGCAGACACGACCAGGTATACTCACGTTGGGCCCAGGCTGGTTCATAGAAGGAAAAGGTAACACCTGCCTCATGCAGTGACTTTCTAATCAGGTCTCGGCCTTCTGGTGGTACGTGCGTGTCCATCTTGCCGAATATCATGACAAGCTCGCCTTTGATGTCTTTACAGCGAGCAAGCGAGTCGTCCTTTTTGCCCTTTCCTAGCGTACCGCTGTGGATATCGGTTGCAAAGTAGCAAATTGCTGCAGAGACACGTGGATCGAGAGCGCAACGGTATGCCAAGTGGCCTCCTAGACACATGCCTGCGAAGACAATGAGCTGCGTACTTGTCCCTGATGAGAAATCAATACTTGCCAGTAGCGCCGATTCTTCCATTGCATGTTGGCATTGCGAGTAATGCGTCTACCGAAAGAGAGGCATCCTCGTCATAAGCTTGGACCGTCTTTGTGACTTTCCATTCATTGCCCTGGTCAGTACCAGGGACGTCGTAGGCAAGTGGTTCAGGTCCAGTAAACTCATGGTAGGAAGATGGCGCTGCGACAATGTAGCCTTGGGAAGCGATTTGTCGTGCAAAGCGAGCAACGGGCCCAGTCACTGTAAGAATATCAGCAAAAATCCAAGCGTAATTCTTTTCTCAACCAATCAAAAACAACGTGCACAATGAAGAATCGAAATTACCTTGATAAATTTCGGAGAAGACTACGACACCGGGAAACTTTGCTTTGGGGTAGTTTGCAATGGTGGGGTGGAAGATGAAGATCCCTGGAACGTCAGTTGAGCTGCCGCCACCAATGTACACAAGGACCACAAACTCATGTCACCACCTGCCTGGGTGGGCACATCTTTGTGTGTTTCCGTAATGAGCATTGTGATGTTAATTCAGCGTGGCTGTATGTAGCGTCTGCTGTCTATTCAACGCGTAGGCGTGAGAGTTTGAGAATGCCGTTGAAAGTGGGGTGGTGGGGTACGTAAGTTTAGCACGGTTCATGCCGCTGGGCTGAACGGGAGAACGTGGCTGTGGTAATCAACGAGTCCGGCAGCAAAAAAAGCATCTCTAAGTCAGGCATTAGGCAACGCTTATTTCCCTATGTGATGCCACTTTTTTAAATTCGACGAAATCCAGCATTTCCGCGGGGAAAGCCGATTGATTACAACATGACTAGTAGAGTTGTTTCCCGCGGAGTGCGGTGGGATGGAGGCAACCGTTCAGGGCTCTTGGTCGACCGAAATACCCAGATGAAAACAGCCCCTATTAAACCAAAGCTATCATTTGCAATCACCCATCTTCACCACAACGTAGTCAAGTTATTTTTCTATATGTAAAAACATTAGACTTCACGTACAGAGTAATATGCTGGAAGATGATATTACTTGACGGTATCAGTATAGTCACACCTCGAGCTTTGTTGGTGGCTGTAGTTTTCACCCAAATATTCAGTCGACCGAGAGCCTTACCCCACAAACGAGTCTACACTACTCAAGCCGAGTCATTCTTATCGTCTTGTATGGACATCATTTTAGTCTCAAACAATGGATAAGGGGACGCGCATGGTCTACAAGCTGAAGCGAACGGGGAAGCGAGCCAGCGCGGAAGCCAATTTGATGGAAAACGGGTCCGGGGACAGCGGGGAGGCGGGGAGCGGGCTAGAGCGCGATCTGCGCTACTGACGCCACTGTACGTACGCCATATGTGCCAACGTATTATGTCCTGCCAATGACAACAGAGTAGCTGAAGGACTCTGTACCAACCAACGCGTGTTTCTAGTGATAGTAAAAGTTACTTTTTTTAAAGTTTGCGATCAGGGTGCGAGTCTTCGAGAGCTGTCGACAATAGCTGTGATTCGCTTAATTCTCCTTATCCTGGGAAACTCCTGTGCCCCCAACAAGGCTGATTGGCTGGGCAACATACGATTACAGACATGGTGTAGCAGTTCGGAGCCTTTCACGGTGAGACTTCCGATTAATTAATGGCGTGTCCTGGAGTATCTTGTTCAACAGCGGGAGCGAACACCCTTATCGATCAAAGCTACGGGACGCTCCAGCTACTGTGTATGTGATGATGCTTGTCTATACAGGTTTTGAGAGTCATTGTTGCCCAGCATCTCCATCTTTATGGTGCAAATGTGGTGGCAGGTGGCTGTACTAAAAGCCGCATGCCAAGTTTATCTGACATGGGCGCCCTGGATAACGAATAGACCTGACAAGGAGTTTGGATTGTATTGCGTCGTAGCTTGCTCCATGCCAGACAGCGAAGCCGCAACAAAGTGCACTACTACACGGAGAAGGACCAGGTGGAGGATGGAGATAAAAGAACTTCGGGTTTTACATCTATATATTCATCTTGATATAGGGAACAAGACATGGATAACGATGATGCAACGTGAACTCTCGGCTTTGCAAGGGCTTTTTTAGAAATCACGCACAGGCCACGATGCCCCGTACTAAAGATGAACGTGCTGGGTATGACAGGTTTAGTGGCAACCTTCATCTATTGCGAAGCTGTAAAGACGCCGCTAGTTTTTTTGCTCGGACGAGAGCCGGTCAGCTTACTTGTCGGACATGTGTCCCAAACAGCGCACCTGGCTAGCCATGTGCGCATTAGACGAGTGGCTGTATCTCTGGTTGCTAATAAATGGAACCGAAATGTCGTTTGCATGGCGAGTCACGGGCGCGACATACAAGGTCTCGAAGAGCCCTTGTCAGAAGGGTACCTGCCAATTTGATCTCGGAATTCTGAGTGTCCGTATGCACCTTAAGACTGCGAGAACCCCTGTGTCTTGTTGAGCCATCCGACCTAAAGTCAGTTCTGTCTGCGCAACATAAGTGCATGTTCAATCTGGATTGAACATCATGGCCAACGCCCAAGATGCGGTTAGTAGAGAGACTCGAGTATGTGGAAGAAAGGAAAAACCTACCGCTGCTGCAAACACACAGGTCACTAATTCCGTGCAGGCTCCTGTTACTATCGGCCTTGTCGCCCTCTTTACAGTCCTTTCAAGCGTCTGCGTAGTCCTCCGATTCTACACAAGGTGACCAAGATGAAGCAAAGAAACCGGGCGAGTAGCAGTCTAACAGGCATGGTAGGAGGATGATACTACACTTTGTCGGGCCCGACGATTACATGATCTTGGTTGCGCACATTCTAAGCCTTGCGCAGTCCGGTATCAATTTCGCAATGATGATAGCTGGTGGCGGAGGACAACACATTGAGCATGTGCGGGACAAATTGCCAACCTTCAACCGGGTAAGAAGAAGCCGCGTTGTAGACGATTTAGTCGGTATGCCTGATACTAACCCGGCGCAGTTGATGCTGGCTGCGACGGCAGTCTATAACGCAGCGCAGATTGCGACCAAAATCTCGCTTCTCATCCAGTACTGCACCATTTTTCCCGGCCGAGCAATGCGACTCATATCGCAGTGGGGCATTGGTCTGCTTATCTTATGGGGGATAGCTCAGCAGTAAGTTGCAGCCGTGGGGAGACTGAGCCAAAGTCAATACTAACAAAGTAACCTTCAAAGGACATTGACACCATGCATCTGCGCGTATGAGTCGATTACCACTCTGACGCCAGAAACTTGCATCCACGACGACTTGTAAGCGAATGGTGCACCAGCATGTGTACAAATGACGGAGATTTTGAGCTCTGTTGCTGACCGTCGGTAGACCGCTTGCGCTCAATGCCATTATCAACATGGTGACGGATTTCCTGATTCTTATCATCCCTGTCAAGCCTGTGCTTGGGTTGCAAATCAACTGGATGCGCAAGACGTACCTCCTAGTTGTTATGGGTATGGGCTTGGGGTTAGTGTCATACGTTCATGTGTAGCTGTGGAGAGGTGCTAACCAAGCGTAGTGTATGCATCATCTCCGCCGTACGGCTCGACATGCTGGTTGGACGTAAGAACGACTGGACCGACGTAACATGGAAAATAGCGTCCATCACATACTTGTCGACAATGGAAACAAGCCTGGGAATAATGTGTGCCTGCATCCCGGCGCTTCGGCCCCTGATGAAGAGAGTGATACCAAACATGCTGGGATCAAGCGCAAAGGACACGACGGATGGTGCGATGCAATACGGAAGCAGAGGCACAAGGCTGGCCGAAGCAAGCGGTATCAAAACAAAAGCTAGCCTTGTAAATGGCATTTACGTACAAAAAGACGTCCAATTTCATAGCACGACGGAGCTCAGGGATGTTTCGGCTAAAGGACCGTACCCGGCCTCTGACCGATCATCCGACGATGAGATAAGCTTGGAACGGGCCTTCCCGCCGACAATGGCGAAACCATAGTACGACTCGCGTGGGTCGTTTTGCGTTTACAAGTCATGAGTAGATTCTCCTCGTTGCTGTGAGGACATATGGTAATTAGTTCAGCATGTCTCAGTTGCATCAATTCCCATGGTGGTGAGACTGTGACCCAACGCTTGAAACAAACAAGCGACGCCGTTTTTGGAGGAAGCGCGGATAGACGCCAGTACCAGTGCGGCCGCCGTCGCCGCCGCTACCGCCGACGATTCGGCTTTGTATCTTCAATGTCATGCAACGCTACCTTTGTTATGCACACCACACGGTGCGGTTACAACGAAGTGGCGAGGCACTGCCGCGGTTGGGCAATTCCTCATAGCAGCAGGTGCAAGATGGGGTACATGTACAAATACTTGCATAGGTACATGGCTTATATTGTACGCAGTAAGTACATAGTAGGTGATGGCACGTCATTGCTCCAGGTTAGGGACCAAGGGCAGGAGAATTAAATTTGGACTACAAGGGGGCGGAGGGCCGGATAAGTGCACTGGGAGAGGCTTGTTCCGAGAATATGACAGCTCGGTAGTGGGGCACATAAAGGGCCGATGGGGCAGTTTTGGCGTTAGAGATGCGCGATGATGTCAGACATCACAGAGTTTGTCGGGTGTGGTGGTGTTGAAGGGCATCAACGCGCGAACTACTTTGCATATGACGCGACGGTTGCGGCGGCACTTTTGGCAACGGCTGTGTGTGTGAGTGGGTGGGTGTTGGTCTGAGCCGAGGCGGTGCGGGTCGTCCGCCAGGCGTGGATTGAGGCTGGGTAGGGTCTCACCGCTAATGGCGCCATTTCGGCGGTGGTTTTCAAGCTGGTTGGGATAGCGATGATGAAAGAAAGGCGGAGGGTAAGCAGATCATGGCTGATGCATCTGTGCTTTGGTCCCTTTGGCCCGGGAATTTGGCAACCCCTATTCCCGTGGGTTGTAGTGTAGATGTAAGTATACATGGATATGTAGAAATACTGTTGCCAAGTACGTATTTCTCATCAACATGGATTGTGGTGCTGTTCAAGCCATGGCGTTCCAAAGCGAACATGTGCACACATGGTTTGCATACTCGGTCGTGCATGGCGGTGAGGGGCAGAGAAAGCCGAGGCAAGCCATGGGTTGCCAGAACAGGGAATGGGTGAAGCCGTTAGGGGTTGCAATAGGCCAGTGGTGTGCAGCAAGGCGGCGCAGCCATTGGCGGTGGGCAGAGCAGTAGGTCAGTAGCTAGAGAGAGTGCGGTCACGGTGGACAGGGCGGGTGGTGTGGCAGCGGCAGGTGTACAGTAGTAGGAGTGGTAATGTCGAGACGGAGAGGGCATGGTGTTGAGGGGTCTGCAGGGTCGACCAGCTGTCACGTAAAGGGCAGGTGGGGGTGGGCGCCGGCGTTGGTCATGGATCCAATCCAAACAACATGTCAGCCTCACAAAACGTGGCTTGAGCCGCTGCACGGGGACAGAGGGAGAGCGAAGAGGGGAGAGGGGAGAGGGGAGAGATGGGGCGGTAGGCAGAGGTACCCGATGGCGGCCTCGAGCCATGCGTCTCCTCTACGCAAGTACTTGAGCATATCCATGGCTTCGTCGTCAGTCGCAGAAGCGGCACTGCTATGTCATGTCGCAGCATCTGCTGTCTGCTATCAAATCGGCTCGCAGACACCCTGGTCGGGAAGTCGGGTCAGTGCGCCGCCTCCCTGCACGAGGGCGTGTCGTGGGTGGCTCCGCTCAGCGGAGACGCAGATGCAGATGGAGTCGAGTGGACCATGTCGCGCTACTACTGATGCTTCCCTGTCCTTCCTCGAGTCCATGTCTGATATACCCCAAAAGCCGCGTGCTGCTCACTTCGCCCGTCAACGTCGCAACCAGCGCTGATACAGCTGTCTTGTTGGGCCATGCCGTCCAACACAATTAAACTTTGGCCACGAACGGAAGCTGCGGGCCAGGGTCCAGCGAATCTGCACACATGGACGCGTCTACTGACTGCCCGACGACCCTGTGCCGCCTATATCAAAACCACCAGGGTCATATCCGCCACTGTAACTAGTAGTACGTACGTACATACATACATACGATGTGTGTGAGGATGCATGTCCGTCCGTCTGTCTGGAGAGACATACATACATATACCACACACACACATACATACATACATACATACATATACATATACACCACCGTGGGCGTTGCTCATGTGATGCGCCGTGTGACGCCCAGCCAACGGGCGTGCCGCTCACGACAACAAAAAATGTGTTCTGGTCGTGCAGCGATATGGCGTCAGGGCTCGTCGCATGGTGGCCCGAGTGACCAGCAACCTCATGCGCCAGATGCTCGGCAAGGCCGCACCGCCGCAAGAGCCGGCTGTCGTTCTGGTCGCAACGCCCGCCAGGGTCATCGGCTGCGGAGAGCGAGTGAGATAGAGAGCGAGAGAGCGCGTGTTGTTGTTGTTTTGGTGGCGGTGGTCGAGGGCGAGGGTAAGCAAGCAGAGGCGGTCGTCGTCTGTCAGATTCAACACAGGGATGCCACAGAGGCACATTCACTAGCGCTATCTTGCTGGGATCCAATCACAGCCTGCAGGGGTTCCATTGCCATGCCAGCCCAGTCAGTGTGTCGAGCAGCTTTTGATGCCCTTTCCAGCTGCTTTTGGGCTGCCTGCGCTGCCTGCCTGTCTGCCCATCATCCACCGCCCGTACCGTGGGTGCTCTCGTCCGCCCTCCCCGCGCCCTTCATCATCAAGCCCTCACCCTGTTCCTGCTCCTGCTCCTGCTCCCCTCCACATCCCATCCCCATCCTATCCTATCCTCGACTCTGCCACTCCTATCCCACGACCAAACCCCATCGCCAGACTAAGTCCTGCTAGCCCCTCCACCTCTCCCGCCGCCGCGACAGGACGGCATTCCACATTGGGACCCCATCTAATTTCCTCCTCACCTGCCTGTCCACCCATCCTCCTCTCCCGACTCTGTTGTTCGACACTTGAAAAATTCCCCTGCGCGAATCAGCGCTGCCCTTCATTTTTTTGTTTGGCCTCTCAGCTGCCCTTTTGGCCAGTGCGCCCGTCTCGGGTCGTCCTTTTTTTCCTGGCCACTATCTCGCTGTCCCGGACGCCCGCTGCACTTGCTACTGCACCTCTCTTTGGCCCACGTCTGGAACACGCCGCTTGGCTTGCTGCCTCTGTGCTACCATCTGCCGCCAGTGCGCTGCACCCCCTGTGCCGCTGCATAATATCTGTCTGTCCGCCGCCGTTTGCTTCGTTACCTAGGTCCACCCGTCGAGGGCATCCGACCGAGTCCTACTGTACTCTACGTGCGTACCTCGACTCCAATCCCCCACCGCCAAGACATGGTTGGCTCTCTCGCCTCCAGTCACTGCCCATTCCCTCCACCCCCCCTCTATCCAAACATCGCCCATTGCTAACTTGGTCCCAGACCCTAGGTCGCCCCGTCCGACAGCGGAGGCGCCTCGCCAATTTCCCTCCCCCCGCGGCACAAAAGTTTCAAGTGGGCAACCCTCGCCGAAGCTCACGGCCTCCCGCCCTCCCCCGTTCCGCGCCTTCCCCCCAAAAGAACCGTCGTGCAATACACACACAGCCGGCGGGCCCTATATGCAGTCGCGGTCTGCTAGTCTATCAACATGGACACCGAAGATGGCCAGCTCTTCATAAGGGTGCGACACACTTGCAATGCCCGGCTCTAAACAAGACACACATTGACACGGCTCCAGAACTTGGCGTACTTTGTGCGAACACACGAAAAGGCTCTTGCCAACGCTCTCCAGCTGCAGCGCCAAAACCCCAGAAATGGCCAAGCCATTGCTTCTCCCTCGTCGCCCAGTGGCCCCGCTAGCCCTCCCTCGTCTGCGTCATCATCGTCGAGCGTCTGGGCAGCAGCATTGTCGCTGCCCTCCCTAACCTTTACCTCGCAGTCGATCAAGCCAGCAAAGCTCACACTAACACCCCACCATCTCTTTTACATCCTCTCCCGCTTCGAGGATCTGGGCATCCCTGTCGGCCCTATGAACGTGCGTTTAGAAAACATTCACACCGATGCCTCGCCCACCAACTATGTCTCCTTCCTTGGTAGCGCCCAGCGCAACAAGACAAAGTCTTCCGATCGCGACTCCATACATTCAGTGTCTAGCGTTCGCAGCGTGATGTCAGGCATGTCCTCACTTTGGTCGACCTTCCGTATCGGATCCACCAGTGAAGCAAAAGCAGAAAAGCAAAAGGCCCAGCTCCAGGAAGACTTGAGATATCTATATTCTGCCTTTACCAAGATCCCATGCTTGAGGCTTTCTCCTGACCACAAAGCCCGTCTGATTGCGGGATATGAAGAGTTTCCATTCGACACTGCGGTCCCCCTATTCGCTTTTAAGAATGTCACAGCACTTGAGATTCATGACGTAGACTTTCGACAGTTCTATGGCTGGGACCGCCTGGCCGAGAACCTTCGTAGTCTGACTGTTAAGCGGGCAGGTGTTGAGGATCCTGCTGACCTGCTCATCAATATCGTTTTGGATGATATTGACAAGCGTCGCAGACGTTCGGCCAAAACAAGCGCGCCTTGGTCTACTGCAAGCCCACCCCCCAAGCATGCTCAGCTCGCTCGATCAGAGTCGCCGCCAACATCGCCCACTGCCGCCGGCAAGCAGAGCACGAGCCCGAGGGGGGCGGCAGTAACCCGCGAGAACTCTACCAGGTCTGGTCAGCGCCAGCGGAGTACATCTCCATCGCGCCCACCTAGCTCCCGCCATGGCTCTTCGCATGTCTACGGCAGGAGCACAGCGAGCGCCCCAAACATTCGCCGATCGTCTGGAAGCTCCAGCTCGAGCGTGCGCTCCACTACTCCACGGGGAAGCTCATCTAACTTACTTTCTATGGGCTGGTTCCCTGCCACCAAGTGGCGGTTCTTGAGACATCTGAGCTTGGCTGACAATGCTTTGACTACCATTCCGGCTGCCAGTCTCGTTCCCTTGACAAACACACTACAGTCGCTGGACCTCTCGGCTAATCTCTTCACTGAAATACCGGAAAGTCTTGCTAGCCTTACTTGTCTCCGTGCATTGAATCTCTCCAACTGTATGATTGATGGTTTGCACTCACTGGGACGCAACCCTCTCCCAGCCATTACAACTCTCAATCTCCGATCCAACCGCCTCACATCATTGGCTGGTATCGAGCGCCTTCTATCTCTAGAGCGTGTGGACTTTAGAGACAATCGATTGACTGACCCTACCGAAGTGGCGCGCCTCACTGGTGTACCCGACATAACGGATATCTACGTTAGCCGTAATCCTTTCTGCAAGACGCACGTCAACTACAGGGTTACCATATTTAATCTATTCCGCAAGACCCCGGGCTACACCGAAGACATTGTTATTGACACCACAGGGCCGAGTACGGCTGAGAAGAAGCAGCTAGTTGACCGGGCACCCGAGTTGAAGGGAGTCCCCGTTGTGAAGCCCCCACCTGAGGATGACTTGCAGCCTATGCCATATGTACCTCCCAAAGTGGTGAAAGCCGTGGACACACCGTCTGAATCGCCTGGATTGCTTAAACGCGCCGGGTCACTACAGCGCACCAAGAGTGGAACAAGGAGTGGGCAAGAGTCCCAAAAGAAGAAGAAGGGCCCCAAGAGACGAATTGTCGAACTTTCGCAGAATGAGTCGATGCAGCAATCTTCCCAGTCGAGTCTAACAAGTCTTGCTTATGAGGATACTGCCATTGGACAGGCTCCTAAACTTACTAAGCCGGTCAGTGTGGCTACAGAAGCACCTCGACTGGAGGAACCGTCCAAGGGCAAGGGTGTTGGAGATGCAGGCAAGAAGACTACGCCAGACGGGCGAGCGGTTGCCGATGAAACGCACACGAGCCATCAGCAACTACCTCCAATTGACACGACGACGGCGTCGAAGAAGCGAGCGGAGCCACAATCTGCAGACGACTTTGAGGTTGGTGAAGAGGAGCTGTACAAGAAGAAGATTGAGGCTCTTCGGCAAGATTTTGGCAACACGTGGCTGAGTGCGCTGGGGGACGAAGGGTGGGACTCGACATCTGTAACAAGCTTCCCATCTGACCGAGGTTATAACTCTCCGACGATGCAACCTACACTGCCTCGTACCCCAAGCCAGAGTATTGTGTCTGGGCGTACGCTTGGCTAAACGGCTGGACGATTGGCAGGAGACATGGGCGGGCGAGGGGCGAAGCGCCTTGCAGCAATTTCCGATTGCCAACGCCCGTGTGATTTCGACACCTTTGCGATACCCAAAAGATTTTTCCAAATTTGGTTCGTGGGAATGGCTTCCTGCTCGGGGTGAACAGGAGGCTATTCTTTGTTCTTCTTTTTTCCTTCCTTTCTAATAAGTTTGTGCAAGGCGTTGGATGGGTGACGGGCGATGATGAGATTGCATGGCGCCATGTGCTACGCTCGTTGTACCGGTCAAAGTCTTGGTCTGATGCGAGTTTCTGGCTGGCAGCATGTTGCGGATGTGCTGTTTGTGGGTCGGATTCTGTAAAAATATTGGTGCGTCTGGGATGTGCTCGTGGACTGGGCAGTTGGATCTGCCATGAATACGCGGGCTGTCATTGTTTCTTTGTTTTTATTTCAATTTTGCTTTCTTTTTTGCTTTGACGCTTGTTTGCTTCTTCTACATAATTGGGTTTCTACTAGGAAGCGATGTCAGGCATGGGCGCATGCAGCAGTGCGAGTTGGGGCGTTGTTTGATCTATTGCATAATGAGCGCACATGTTCGGGTAGATGTCTGCATGAATAGAAGACGAATTCTGGCCTACACGAGACTGGATGGATATATATGGATGAATGGATGAATAGACGATATCACGTGATTGTCAAGTGAGGTTTGCAGATGTACTTGGTATGTAATGTATGTATGTAAGTATATACTCTGGATGGTCGTGGAGCGAAGACCGGCTCCATGGGCTGGCTGGCTGGCTAGGGCTGGCTGGTAGCTCCCGAGCTACGTACATGAACAGTGTGTGAACGGGCGGTCCGGGACGAAGTGCATACAGGTACAGCGGATGTCATGAGCAGGCAAGTATTAGCAAAGAGAGCTTCGCCGGCTGAAGCGGAATGTGGATGGGGGGGTGGTTTGAGGCAGGCTGCTAGGCCAAAAAGCGCAGCACGGTCAAGGCACCGGCGCAGTCTAGAGTGAGACTGTGCTGACTGTTTAATAACATGGCATGAACGGGCTGTCGTATTCCGGACGGATTGCAGTGGCAGCGGTACCCAACGGGCAAAAAGGGTCGAGGACAAAAGTCGAGGACAAGTCGAGGAGATTGTGGTGGCGCGGTGGCAGGCGTCGAGGAGGGCAGGCTAGACATGTGTGGTGTGTTAGCGGCAGTTGCAGCCGGTCAGGTGCGATGTGGACGACGCTGGCCACGCCCGGTACCTGGACTGGACTGGGACGGGCAGCTGAGGCCTGTGTCCATGTCAGCGTCTGACCGTGCAGAGGCTGGCACTGGTGTTGGGTGTGCAGGTAATGGGTGTGTGTGGGTGCTGGGCGAGGGAGAGGGCCCTTTGTTATCATGGCTCGCTGTGCTGCTCTCCCACAGCCCCGACGCGCGTCTCTGTTGGGCTAGCACACCTTTTGCGCCAAGCCAGGCCTAGGTCTGAAACCGTGCCTGCTCTGCAAAACTACTCGGGCGTTGTGATCCTCTCTACCACCGCAACCCAACCCGGCCTACCTACCATCAACCCACTGCCTGCTTCCTGTCTTGCTCCCCAAGCCCCAACGCTGCAGACAACCCGTACTCGCTCATCGCCCGCACAGCCTACTTTTGTCGTCCATCGCCCGTCTGTCTGCCAACCCCCCCGCTCCTCCAGGCGGTGAAGTCACTCCCAGCATCCCACTCGACAGGCTCCCGCCCATAACAACGCCTCAGCGCCTCAGCGCCCCCGCTCCCCTCGCGCTCAACTGCCCACCGCGCAGCCCACACAGGTATCCCCATATCAACACGCACAATTGACCAGCGCAATTTGCAGCCGCCCCACCCGTCGCGTGATCCCAGCTCTGCCAACAGGCACTTCTTGAGGGGCTTTGAGCCATTCTCCACACGGCGACAGCCTGCACCCGTCTGCCACTCTAACCACCCCATTCGTTAACATCAGAGGTACGTGACACTCTCTCCTCCCACTCCCTCCCCTTTGCTGCAGCCCCACGCGATGCATCGCCCGCCTCCCAGCCAGTGTCATCGCCGTCGTCGTGGTAGTCGCTGTCCACGACACGCTTCTGCCGCCGTCCGTGGGCCTCGCAGCACCACACACACACACAGACCTGCCAAATACAGACGGTTAGAGCGCCGCTAACACGCCCAGTGCAGCAAAGGAAGAAAGAGAGAGAAAAAAAAGGCCCTCCGTACAAAGCCTTCGCCAGTGCCACGCGCAAATCTTCCTCACCCACCCACGCGAGGTTCTTCCTTGCCCCTTCAGCCACCGAACCCAGCGCCAGTAGCAAGTCACAGCTATGGCCGAAACTGAGGTGGACTTGGACTCTATCATAGACCGCCTGCTCGAGGTCCGCGGCAGCAGACCCGGCAAGCAGGTCCAGCTGCTCGAAACCGAGATCCGCTACCTGTGCACCAAGGCTCGCGAAATCTTCATCTCACAGCCCATCCTGCTCGAGCTCGAGGCACCGATAAAGGTCAGTCACAGCGCGTAGTGCTGCGAAGCCCAGTGTCTGGCTTCAGAGCACCTACTGACTTTGCATGCACCAGATTTGTGGAGATATCCACGGCCAGTACTACGATCTGCTACGGCTCTTTGAGTATGGCGGCTTCCCTCCAGAGGCGAACTACCTCTTCCTCGGCGACTACGTCGACCGTGGCAAGCAGTCGCTCGAGACGATATGCCTCCTCCTCGCGTACAAGATCAAGTACCCTGAGAACTTTTTCGTTCTGCGTGGCAACCACGAGTGCGCTTCCATCAACCGCATCTACGGATTCTACGACGAGTGCAAACGGAGATACAATATCAAGCTATGGAAGACTTTTACCGACTGCTTCAACTGTCTGCCTATTGCCGCCATTATCGACGAGAAGATCTTCACTATGCACGGTGGCCTGAGCCCAGATCTAAACTCAATGGAGCAGATTAGGCGTGTCATGCGACCTACCGATGTGAGTTTGATCCACGCACATGTCGAGCCAATTGTTAGGACACACACACTGACGAGCATCTGTAGATTCCCGATTGCGGTCTTTTGTGCGATCTGCTGTGGTCCGACCCAGACAAGGACATTACGGGATGGAGTGAGAACGATCGTGGTGTGAGCTTTACGTTTGGACCCGACGTTGTGTCTCGTTTCCTGCAAAAGCACGACATGGACCTGATTTGCCGTGCGCATCAAGTCGTAGAAGACGGTTATGAGTTCTTCTCCAAGCGCCAGCTCGTGACACTGTTTAGTGCACCCAACTACTGCGGCGAATTCGATAATGCAGGCGCAATGATGAGCGTCGACGAGAGTCTGTTGTGCTCGTTCCAGGTAAGCCTAGGATGATGGTTTTGTGTGGCGTCTATCTATGCAAATTGCTGACAAATGATTGCAGATTCTCAAGCCTGCAGAGAAGAAACAAAAGTACGTCCCCAATCTCGGTAGACCTGCATCTGGCAGCAAAAAGCGCTAGAGGCAGTGGCTACTCTACTCATTGTGAATCAATACCAACTTTTTTGTGCAGCAGGTTTGGGCGCCGTTAGATGATGGCAGTGGTCAGCCCCTCCGAGTCCGATGCCTCACGACGCGAAACATATACTCGATCTCGATTTCGTTACCCACTCTTTGGCTTTCCGACGGCCTTTGACGATTTGTACACAGTCCTGTCCTTCATTCTTTGTGATTCGAGTACCGTTGCGCGCGATGCAAAGGGAGACTGCGGTCGACGCTCCGTGGCGGACGATGCGACCTTTGACGACTCTGCCTTTTTGGACTTGCCGGCGACAAGAAGAGGCGGAGGTTGTAGCAGGGCAAAAGAAAAGGCGCGCGATGGTAGGCTAGCAGAGATGCGGACAAGAAACATGATATCAGGAGAAAAAAAGCACAAGGGGCATGACTAACGGCCTGGATACGTTTTATGGTTGTTGCATGTTCTACAAAAAGGGTCTCTGTGGCGAGGATAGTCTGGATTGTCTAAGGCGGGCTGGATGGTGGGAAGCTATCAGTGGCCTTTTGATTGGGCTTGTTCAGGCTATTGAAGCATTTGTGGACTCGTGTTGACTGCTTCGTCCTTTGGGCAAGTGAGAGGCTTTTTTACACGGGATGATGTCTGTCATTTTTCTTTCCTTGTTCTTTTTTTTTTCTTCTCTTCTTCGTTTGCCGCGTTGAACCAGCAACCTTTTGAGGATGAGGATGTAAGCTAGTAGTTTCGAAATGGAGTATGCGTATCCCCTTTGCGAGCGTGGTTTACGAGTGCAGGGGCCATGAAGTGAGAGGTATTTTAGTAGTATGTGTGTACTAAGCAAGTGGGCGCGAGTGGCGGATGGCGGCGCTCGGCTCGTAGAGGGAACACGGACGAAGGCGAGCCAGAGAACAGACGAGAGCACGGCGAAGAAGGAGAAAAAAACTAAACAGGCGAGGAAACCATGACAGGATTCGGCCGATGGGCAAGGGATGAGACGTCTGCGGTTGATTCTGGCCAGGGTTGTGGGGGGGTTTATTATTTTGTTATTCTTGTTTGAGAGAGAATGAGGTGAGTGCAGGAGAGAGACAGAGAGACAGACAAAGAGAAAGAGAAGCACGTCTTGTTTCTTTTGGGACTGCGTGAGGCATGCATTGCAGTGGAGGAGGCATGGCAATGGCAATGGCAATGGCCATGGCAAGGATGGAGGAGTCGATAGGCTTGGCTGGGCGGCACGATGATGTCAAGGGGAGCGTGCATTCTTCATAGGGCTTGTGCTTGCACAGAGGGAATGCAAGGCCAGGCCAGGCCTGAAGAAGAGCGTGTGGCAGTGCTCGCGGCCTCGTCGGGCGTCGTGGGCGTCGTCAGAGCCTGGCAGCGTGCGGTCTAAGCGTAAGCGCCGCCTCCGCCGACCGTGGCTCCGGTCGCAGCCACCACCACCTGCCCGTTCCAATGTAGTCATCCTCCAGCCGCCTATTGATTCCCCCAAACCTGGCCTTCACCCGCCTCGCCGTTCCTTGCTGTGCCCGTGTGCTGTCTGTCTCTCTCTCTCTCATCCCATCCCATCTCGTCTTCTTCCTCTTTTCCCCACCACCGCACTCCCTCCATCCCTGTGTTGTTGCAGGTCCCGCTTGGCTTTCAATGTGCGCGCTGTAGTTCCATCACCCCCCTTCGCGCCTGTCGTCACTCCTTTGCCCGCCCTCCTCCGTCGCTGCGTCGCGCGCCTTCCGCCCACAACCCACCACCGCCCACTTACGACCAGCACCACCACCGCCGCCACCCCTGCTACTGCCATGTTTTGAACATCTGAACAGAGGACCGACGTCACTCTGTACGCAGCCGCCATGGCCGAGTACGCGTATGTTTCCCTGTCTTATCCTACCCTGCCCTACCCTGCCCTGCACTGCCCTGCCACTACCGCCGCTACCCAGTCACTCTACTTACATGTCGTCTCAACACAGCTTCATCGCACATTCGGCTCCCTGGGTCCACAGCTCAGGC